GAAATAGGCCCTGAAATGTCGGCACGACCGATAAAAGGTCTGTCGACCCAATAGATATTCATTGTAATGCCGTCGCGTACGTAAGAGTGCTAGTGTATGAACAGACATGAGTCAACCTTCAATTCTTATCTCAATAAAAGACTATATTAAATTGTAAAATTTGAACATGTTGATTTGATTGTTCTCGCGAGCGGCATTACAATGAATATCTATTGGGTCGACAGACCTTTTATCGGTCGTGCCGACATTTCAGGGCCTATTTCCAGGACGTTACTCTCTATTTTGTACGGCTTCGGATGCTCAACGTTCGCATCGTCGGGACTATGAACGCCATCAGCTAAAGCTCCATATTGTGTGGAAAGAAATCAAACATACACATTCTCAGTCCTTTGATATCCTTGACCTTGGACTCCTCAATGGACTTGCGTAGAAGCAGGACTCGGATGGATGCCCATACAAGTAACAAACATCCAAATGCGACAGGAATTAGCCAGTAGAGAGGTGATAAATGGTATGACCCTCCAAAGACGACATGAAGAGGTGGAGTATAGATTACAAACATGCCAAGACATGCTCCAGCCAGGATTCCGTAGAAATTGTACTTGTTGCCGATGATTGCCTTGCCGACTACAGAGATGATCAGTATAATGAATCCCATAATTGTAGAGATACTCACATGGGAAGGAGAACCTGGCTTTGACAGCGAAAACCTGTAATAAATTTGAGTAACCTGATGGATTATAGAACTAATGCGTACATTAAAGCATTGCGTGATGAAAATCGAGAGGTAAACTGAAACTTGGATGAGCTTATGTGACAGATATGGTTGAGAAAAGACATACCAATCGACTGCGCTTGGGCTAGTCCGTCGATCTGAGTAGCTGCATTAAGACTCTGGCCACGCGAGTTGATGAAGTCGGGGCTATCCTTCAAGAAGTACACTAGATCATTTATTAAGCAATCAGGCTAGGTAATATTAAGCAAGGGCAAACCTCCAGCCTTTTGTGCTTTACGAAGATCGGCAGGAGTAAATCCACTCTTGTAAAAAACGACGAAATACGCCACTATCCTGCATAGAAGTTACATTCCAAATCGATGTCATGAGGCAGAGAGACTCACGTTGCGATAAATTCGATTAAACCTGCCTCTAGATATGCATAGCTGAGTAGCTTAGAATCCACTAGAGTTTCGTCTTGGGTGGGTTCGAATCTTTCTTCCCAGAAATCTCGCGAAACGATCTTTTTGATCTGGTTGATGTATTTAGTAAAACGATTAGGTGCGATAATTTCGTTGGTTTCAATGTCCCGTGTCAATGTCCTAGCATGAAATAAGGCACGACGTTTCCTTGACATTATAGATTTCTCATTGACTGCAACGGGTCAGCTTCGAAGATGCTCCGAGAGAAAAATTTGATTACCTGGCTTCCTAGGTATCATGCGCATAAGTCCATCCAAAGTTTCCGGTTTATCCCAGGCAAACGAAAGCTATTAGCAGTGTATGGATAAGCAGATCCAATCAGGTGAAGGAAGAGAACATACGGCGACGAGTAGTTCAAAGCCCAAATCTAAAGGTACAAGTGAGAAACGAAGTGCGAGATGAGGGGTTGAGCCTACCAATAACCAAGATCAAAATAGCGGATAGAGGTAGAGGTAATGGAACGACCACATCTGATCATCTTGTCAGCCGATTGCGGAAAACTTGTATTGGATGTGTGGTACTCACAGAGTAATTGCGGGATTACTTCTGGAGTACTATGCGAAATTGTATATCTAAGACAGGTGTAAGCTAGGAAGGAGGTCTTAATGGTGTTACATACTGAATGGAACGTTTGAGATTCACAAAGATTTGACGACCTTCAGCGACGCCCTCTGTACATTGTTAGCAGAAACTCCTGTCATCAAGTGTCCTAGGTACTCACTAACGGTTGATGCGAAGTTATCATCTATCAAAACGATTAATACGATGACGACGTCATTCGGAGGTAGTCACTTGCCGAGGAGAATCATATTCGCAGCTTCCTTTGATACATCGGACCCAGACATATTCATGGCAATACCCAAATCAGCCTGGAACAAAAAGTCAATATCTTGTGAACCGGAAGGGCTGATCACCTTGCCTTCTTTAGAGCGGGGGAATCGTTTACTCCGTCGCCAGTTCTAAATCCAGCGTGAGTACGGAAATAAAGTAAACCACTAGGGTACCTACACGCCGACGATATGCCCCAGTGCCTGCGCTGTTCCGATTACCGATGACTTCAGGAAGCAGTATGATGACGCATACAATGTCAGTAGTATCA